GATACAGTGGTGCGCGTCTTAGCAACGTAGAACGTCTGTGACGTAGCTCCGCCCCCGAGGATACGGTTATCTCTGTGGGTTGGTGGGCGACATTGAGCACCCCATACAATAAAACAAAACAACGCAAACAGCTGTCGGCAGGAAGCGTAATTCATTTCAACTTGCGAGGTTATGGTGTATGCGGTGTTACGTGTTTTTCCTTATGGTAAGTCCCTCTATGGGCCGTCGTAAGTGTATAATAACTAATACCGTTGAGGGCAATGTAACAAATAGGAACGGTAACTATATACATGCGACAGGACCTGGAAATCGATTCTAGGCTAACTTAGATCATGCATGGAGGTTACCTCCATGGATCATGGTATAACTACACTCAAGTGGTTTCCTAGGAGATTTCGTATGAGAGTAATGACCTTCATTCCATAATAATAATTAAAGTGCACATAACATAGTGGTGTTTGTGCATGGATTAGACCACATCACAGCGCACCGCCACGTTTATTGTTTTAGTGATTATCGCCGGCGACCTGTGGATTACTAATCAGTTGGATCGAATTATCTCTAATCAGTTGATAGATAGCGACTAAGCCAGTCATAATCACTTTATAGAAGGACTGACTCAGGAAATATGTTTTGTCTTCTATTACCTTTCATATATCCATATTTAGTTAATTTTAATTTTAGTCCAATTTTATTTAGTGAAATTAATCGTCAGGTGAGAATGATCTTTGTAAAGAAATGTTTAAATATGCTGAATAAGTTTCTCAACGTATTCTATGAAAATGTTCCCAATTATTGTAGAATACAAGTGTCAAAGTAGCGATGTCGATAGTATCAAAGAAAATAGCATGACAGCGATGTTTAACTTATACACAATGTTATACTTTGTGACGATAATATCAGAGAAAAACGTACTTCCCTAAGTCTAATAGTTTGTTGGAGTTAGACTTTCCTTTACACAATTTCATGTTTCTCGATATTATTGTCTAAGTTCGTCTATGTTATGCACTTCCTAAGTAATGGCCTCAGATTTACTATGTTTAACTTAGACAGACTGTAAGCTTTTTAGACGATGTTATATCGGAGAAAAGTGCACTTCTTTACAATAATGACCTGACAGGGAGGTCAAACCATAGAACTAAAAATTTACTTTTAGTTCCATGCTTAGACATAGTGTTAAATTTGTAGACTATAATATCGCTAATATTAAAGAAAAACGTACTTTCCCAACTGACTAGTGCCCAGTTAGAATTTTTGACCATACTGTTATTTAGACGGTGATGTCTATATACAGGTGTATCTAACTTAGACACACTTTCAAATTAGCGATAATATCGGATAACGAAAATAGTGCAATAACTCGCCTCACTCAGACACATACTTTGCAATACAATGAGGCAAATAATTTGTGTTTTCACTAACAACCAATACTAGCGTAGCGGGACAAGCATTAACTAAACTAGTACTTATAACTGGTCTGACTTGAAGAATGCCAGATAGTATTTATTAACTCATAACAACCTACTGGAAGAAGTTAAAGGTTACAAAAGAAAATTACAAATAAAAAATAATCAAATTACAATGGCCAATAGTTAAAAGCACAACTAAAAACAGACTAAATTGAAATTAGTATCGGAGATATATAAATATATATATGATAAAATAAAATAAAGTGAAACACCCACAAAAAACTGAATATAAAAACAAAAACCCAATGAACACATAATAGATATATATGAAAAAAGTCAATGACTAAGTATATAGGTGCTGCCGCTGTCTAATAACAAAGCTGTTTTTAGTAATTGTTAAGTTATTATTTGACATTATTTTTATGAATTTATTTTCAGGTGTCAGATTTGTAAAGTCAGCAATAATGTTTTCAGATTCTTTATATAAAATGCCGGACGTTTCGGTCCTGACGTTTCGGCCTGCACGTTTCGGCTCCGAAAGTTTCAGCCCGGTAATTGCATTATTTAAATAGTTAAATATTTCTGTAAACAACTGAATGCCGACATCACGTACTAGTAATAGACTATGTATTAATTATTTATGTAAACATCTGTTAGGATGCGTGTCTCGGTAAACATTTAATACAAATGGAATTGGCATACTGCTGGCGTTGGGGGTGATCGTAATTTGCACAAAATTACATATTCGTTCAAAGACGATTCCATGGATTGGGGTTTTCTGTAATGTTTTTTTCTTAACAAATTTTCCCGATTTATACAGCATTGTCAGGATTTGGTATGAATATGAACACTGAAATAAAACAATATATATTCAGACTAAAACTGCACTATGATATAACCATACAACTTCCTGTGTCACTTACACTGCCACTGGTAACGGGCCAGGAAAAAAACAAGATGGCCGACATTGCTAGTTGGGGAAAAAATGTCTGCAAACTTGGAGAAAATGAATATCTATCGAATATATATTCGCTTTATTGAATAGTTTGGGTTTAATGAATATTCACGAGGTATGTAGATTAATCAAAGTTTGACAGAACTTGATCAATATTGAGATAGAATGAAACACTATACGTCGGACGATGAACAACTTCCAATTTTTTAAATGTATATGTTCGATACAACCGTTAAATTTTGAATATGTATTGCATTTTCGTCAACATTTGAGAAAAAAATTACGATATATTCTATATAATACTTATTGCACTTTTATGTTTTATATTACATCTAAATTCTCAATTACAATTAATAAAGCAGTTACAATCAAATAATAATATAAGGTAGTAGACACACGTATTGTTGTGTGTTTTTCACTGTCGGCTTAATTTTGATAGAATAAATTGCAATATCTTCTAATCGACTTTTCACTGGAAACTCGTGTATTCATTTGATCGGGCTATACACATCTATATACTGTGGTATATTACACACAATAACATTTTCAGTCATGCAACTTTCGAAACTCGACTTTTCACTAAGTAGGTCACAAATAGAACCTTTCCGTGTAAATCTTGATGAAAATTGACAGCATAGCATATTTTAGTGAAATGAAGTAAGCTCACCAAGGTTTTTAGATCAAATCGTTTCAAGAATATCTCTGACCCCTGTAAGCACCATAAATGCTTTGGATTCGTAAAGTTCATGATAAATCTAGTTCTCAAACCACAATGAGTCTGATCCAACAGAATCCTGAAATCAAATTTAGAAGTTATTCCTATAGTACAGTATCATCATAGTGACCTTGAGTGATTAACACAATGCAATTTATGTTTGATTTCGCGATTAAAAACTACGACCTTAGGTGCAGGGTAGCTTCAGGGTTTCAATATTTAAGGAATAGTTGCCAAGCCAACGAATTCTTGCATTTATCATGGTGATCACAACAATAAATGAGAGGTGTTCTACATAAAATACAAAGTGTGAATGTAAATTTAAAATGGAGGGGAATTCTAAAAACAAACAATAAAAATGACATTATTATTGCTCAGACTAGTAATACAGTCTGATATTATTGGAGAACGAAAACATAACTCCGGAAATACGTCCACTTGGACTGATGGATATACTTTACTGCCAGTGGGTGTGAACTTTACTACGTACATATGAAAACGATGACAACCCGGCAATGATTGCATTTATTGTATTGGTTTTATGGCATACAGGTCATACAGGCGTATACATACTCACGTTACTATCGGCTACGGATTTTTTTTTTATTTCAAGCGCAGACACTAATACAATAAATTGAAACAGTTTCATACATAAATAATTGTGTGAACTATCCTTCTGTAATATATAACTAGTATCAGTAGTGATCGTATCCTAAGATGTTCTTGTGAACAGTTCCATTGTAGTTCTTAGGAGGTATGGCTATCCGTGGAAATATACAGTACTTGCATATTTCATCACTTTACATGTGTTTCACACTGTCTATATTTTTTACGTATGTATATATAGTCATTCTACTATTTTAACTTGCGTTTCTGTGGTCATTCATTAAAAAATCATTCATGGTGTTTTTCCGCTGGTACACACACCCTCATTTCAGCAGACCCAACCCCTCCGTGCGAAAATTGACTAGCCTGTTATGAGAATTCACCAGATAAACATTACGCCAGGGTCGACTATATATAGAGAGACGTGACAACGTCAATGTTGTTAATTTGAGAAACTCGTCTTGAACACCGGAACTCCTCAAAGACATGGGAACTTGACCTCTATGCTCATCTAAATATCCCGAGCACGGACGAAGCCACGCTAACTACTTTGATGTGTACACAGGTAGTTTTTTAAATTTTATTATTAACTTTGGACAACGAGGAGACGACACCATGACAGTCACTTCGAAGCGTACTCTGAAATATTCGATTGACGAGATTCTACGTAAAGACTGTGGGAACGATTCGGATATCACCCGAGAACCGTTCGGGACCCACCAACGAGACAGTGGTGCCAGACGCCAATCCAATGCAATATCCAGTACACACACCGCTTGTAGGCAAACTCACGTGCCAGCGATGGTCGAATCGACGATGATACCAGCACACCAACAACCAACAGCAGCTTACTGGCCGTATCATCAACTTTATCAAAACTACTCCCTGCAACCTAATAAATTGACTCCAACTCCGTTAGATTATCGTTTACTATACTCAACATTCCTGTCACATTCACAGCTTGCCTTCCAAAATTCAGGTAAGTTCATAGCGATGACATTAATACTAGTAAGTACACTGACGAGATTAGCTCACCGTGTCCTTTCTCCCAATCACCCTGTCCCGAGTTTTTAACATCAATTTGGAATACTGTCCTACATTTGGCAGTGAACTAATATCCAGTTTTTTTACTATAATTATTACTTTTTACTCTTGTCGTCCGTTTAAAGGTTTATGCTACTACAGTGTCCTCAGGCAAATTTTGTATTTCTTGTATGAGATGAACCATCCATTATTGTAAATATTAATCATTTTTAGTGACCTTACTGTTGTACTTTCCAAGTCAGTTTTGTGCCAATAATTAAATATATTTTAACGAAAAAAACGACAAATTATCCGCATTGTTAGAGGAAAACACATCATGTACGATCATTGAGTTGTAGGATACTTGAAATCATTGAAATATCTCTCGTTGAAAGCAGAAATAATTTACCGCACCTAATCTCACCACAGAACTCGTTAATGGACAAGTCGTCGTTTTAGAGACATCGTTTAATCCCGTTCTGGTGGGAAGTCTTAAATATGTTCAATCACCAGTCAGATGATTCGAAATACGTGGAACAAGTCCTCATTTGGACTTTATTTTTTGATTACGGTTTATTTATTTTTCTATAAATTACTGCTGTGAGTCTTTTGTGTTGAGTGTGTCGTAACATATACCTGCGGTGATTTACAGGCTACTAACTATATCAGTCTATTAATTGCTTTATAGTCACCGTTTACGAGTCTCATAACAATATACTACGTTTAACGTGCTTAAAAAAATGCTTGTGTAGGAAAATTGACACACAAACAATCATTTAACGATGATTGTTATTCGGACACGTTCTATGGAGAAAGGTGGGCTACAAGTCATCCGTGAATGGCAAAGTGTGCCATAACAACTCACATTTAGATCGCTCTCTTTGGTTTTTCACGCAGTTTCCATAGAAACCAAAGCGATTTTCTAATTATTGATGTTGGAAATATGTGAATTCCTATTAACCGAATCCGTTGCCGCGACAACGCGGTACTTTTTCGAAATACGCGATTTGCTTTAAAATTGAGTATAAAGCTATTAATATCTTAACTTAGACATTTATGACAGGAAAGATCAGTCGATAACTGCAGTGGACTCGTTGAACGTCACAATGTCCACATATACGGACTGGCTTTCTCATCATATGCTGATGGTGTACATGTATGTGGAGGAGTCAAGTTACATACACCATACCCATTCTGTTGTATAACTCAATCTGTGTTATGCTGCCGTGCAAATACCACCAATGACTCATACCCCACCCATACTGTAAATTTAATTTTGATATAAATGATAAAATCAATTCAGTTCTACTCTCCGGACACACTTTTAGCCCTGGAAATACTTAATAACATCCAAAAGAGCACCGACTCGTATGTTAAGTTTCGAAGTTACATAATCGCCAGTAATCGGATCTAAATACTAGTAGCATCTTTAAAATATCCCGCATCTCGGCAATACAATCTACATTGCGCCCGGGAACCACGGGAAAGGATACATCCACGTGATTCATCATTCGTTATCATCTCTCATAAGTTTTCTGTTATAACAATTCATGAAGGTAAGGTGTCACTGGCTCGGCGATTCTGTGTGCATCTTGCTTTGAAGTGTCACAAATGACAAATATATGTCGAGTACGCTTTTGAATTTCTCTCCAACTTGAAGTCATACAGTGTCTAACTTTCAGTATGCCAAAGGGTAAGACAATTCAGAGGAAGACGTTTACGACGTGTATTTTCCGATTGTAAATTGTAATAAAGATGCTACATAGCAACCATTATCTTCGCTAATTAGAGAAGCAATCTTGCACTGCTAAGCAACAAGTTGAAGCGCGATGTTAGTCGGTTCGTGTGTACACACAACTATCATATTATAATTAGTCGTGAAATTGTCTGAAACGCAGTAACATGATGGCCATCTACAAATACAAACGATCCGAGCATTTCAAAGTCAATATGGTTGGTTGATAAAAACTTGACATTGTATCTTAACGACTTGTGTACACTATGTACCGACAGTATACTTAAGATTTAGACAAAAGATTAAGTGATGGTCTTTGTTTGGGGTAAAATTAACTCATCACGTACTTTTGCATTTACTGCTCAAACCCTGGATTAGTCGACCCTCTAATAAGTAGACTCTGCGTTGATCGCGATAACGGAATTTCTTCGCGTGATTTATCGTAAAACAGTAAGACGTTGTTTCTTATTTCAATTTTCGAACTAATTTTGACTGTGACTACGTCGGCATGGAGGACTGTTGTCTGACCTTTAACCCCGACAGCTATCGTTATTTTTCAATATTTGCACTTGAACTGAAGTAACTTTAACGTAGTTCGGTATAGATAATGTACAAAGTGACAAGGGTATAGGTTAATGGGTTGTGTTACCTTTGGTGATAGCGTGAAAAACAAGTTAATTAGTTTGCCTTTTACGCATTCCAGTTGTCAAGTTTGTAAATCGTAATAGATATACGCGACGACCATGATCTGTTTTTCGCTCTAGCCGGTGTAACTAAAAGCAGTTTTGAGCGAGAGAGTTGATATTGATATTTTGGAAATATTGTTCATGTCTTATTTTTAACCATTTACCCTATTTCACTGTTAGATCAACAAATCGCACGTCGTCGTATTAGTCCATTATCCCCAGCATCTTACACTGGCTGTTATGGTCTTGTACCGAATCAAACACACTTTATCAATGGACCACACTATTCTCATACCTTCAATGATTCAACGGACAAAAGCGACCACGAACCTCAGAAACGGCACCCAACGCAAGCAATATCTCCATGCGATAGAGACAAACATGCCAAACTTGGAAAACCTGATACGGACATTTCAAACACAAAAGTCTTACATATTGAAGACGATAGTGTTGACGATAAAGAGGTTGAATACGACTCCGCCTCAGAAGACGAGGAACATGCACGACGCAGAGAAACTGTCTGTAAAATAGAGAACGAAACAGAGGAAACAGACGGCGACTTAGAGGAAAGTCACGACGACAATAACAATGATTTCACACTAGAAACAGGTAACGTGTTCTCAATTTGGGTTGATAAAATATCAGTGTTTTAGATGACATACTGTAAAACCATTTATTTTCACTGGCATTTAATTTCACTATTTTGATGTTTGAGTCCTTTTAAGTTCACAAAATTAATTTGGCAGCGCAACAATGTGCTCTATTGTTATTCCACGTGTAATAAATTTAGCGGATTTAGTAAGTATCAGCGAAGATAGCGAAATTAAAACCCAGTAAATAATTAATGTATTTTAATACAGTCCGCTGAGCAATTTATCTTATTTGAAGTTTGATCACCTGTTGGCGTCCTACCTATTATGGCGATGACGCTGGTCATAGAGGGCGTTTGGTCACTATCATGGCGAGATGTGCGTTTTACATGCAGTTGCAGTTGTTATATTCTAATTATCCCGGCGACAGTTAAATGGTCACATTTCAGGCTGACATTTAACGCTTACACAAAACATTTTAGCCGATTGAAAGTTTTAGGAAGACGGCATTTCAAGCATATTTATCACAGTAACACATTCGGTAACGGCTGTATACTACGGTAGTACACTGTAAACTGCGTGTAGACGGGTCATTCAATTTACATTTCCCACGAAGCACTGAGTGTAATCTACTGTCGTATAGATTAAAACACCAGGCCGGAAACACGACTACTAGTATAGTGAATACTGTTACTCCCTTCTGAATATACCGGTACTTGTAGCCTCATAAACCAAACAATATGTCCGGTCCATGTATTGCTTCGTTCAGACATTTTTCACTGTTTCAATAATATATTCAGTATGTTGGAAAATATGAAAATATATATATCTAGAAGCCCAAGTGAATCTCGCCTATAAATATGATATGCAATAAAACATGTCTGAAAAAAATGAAAATTGATTAGTCTACTGAGCAGTGTACTAGTAGCTTTAAGGAGAATCATAGTATTATTCTCTAATATAATAATAATATATCACAGGTACTGCCCTAACATTGGTAAGTTCATTTTATCTCGTTGGACTCACTGTATTGCCCATACCCATGTATAGGCCATGACGGTTGATACTAACATATGATTTCGCTTTTCCCGTGTTATCGCCATCATTAGCGAGATAATATCATTTAATACATGTACATGGGATAATATTATTTCCCTGGGGATGGTCAATACTTGGAATCATTGAAATGTTATAATTTCATCCGTTATTGTACTTGGCTTCTATCAAGAATTATCCCTAACTGGCTGTTATAAACCTCGGCTTTTGGCTTCGGTCAGTAGCAGCCAGTTGGTGACGATAATTGTTGATATCAGTCCCAGGCGAGGCCAATAACTATATATTAATATTCCTAGGTGGTAAAATAACGGGGGAAATAATAATATCCCTGAAAGGTCTCAAAAACAAGGAAGATAGTATTATACTCAAGATGAGAAGCGTTCACATGGAAATCTTTAACAAAGAATACTTCATTGTCGGAATGGTGATGAGTAGTATAACTTTTGACCTTTATTCCGACACCGTATTCTTTCCAAATAATTACTTACATTACTAATTACTTATATGATGTGGCAACACGACTCCGAATGTTGCCGATGTAACTCCACTTTCGTGTTTCGCGAATGCTCTTCAACATGCCCCGCTCTTTTGTTCTATATTTCAGATTCGAAATACAAAAAACCTAAAAGAAGAGCGAGAACCACGTTTTCACCAGAACAGTTACGAGAACTAGAGAACGTTTTTAAAATCACGCATTACCCAGATGTTCATACACGTGACAAATTAGCACGTGCAACTGATTTACCCGAACAGAGAGTGCAGGTATGACGCCATCAATCCATAGTGTCTTCATATAGTCTTACTAGTATGTTGGGGGTGATCTACAGAACGGATTAAATATAAGGATGAATACATTTTTACTAGACAATGTTCGTCGCAATCACTTTAACCTTAATCCCTACATTAATATCACGCGTTTATCATGTTCATAGTAAATCCAAGTCAATAATATCACAAACACATCGCATAAATTGCAACCCCCGTCGATAATATCGCATGTACACTGCCTACGCATCCCACATACACTGCAAACCCGTCGATAATACCGCACGTATCCCACATACACAGCAAACCCCGTCGATAATATCGCACGCATCCCACATACACTTACCCCGGCCCACACACACTACAAACCCTGTCGATAATATCGTACGTACTCCCCCACACACTGCAAACCCGTAGATAATATCGCACTTATCCCACATACACTACAAACCCTGTCGATAACATTGCACGTAAACCACATAATTACGCTGCCACCCTAGTCGATAATATCGCACGCCCCCACACTGCAAACCCGTCGATAATATCGCACGCCCCCCCCCACTGCAAACCCGTCGATAATATCGCACTTACCCCACATACACTACAAACCCTGTCGATAACATTGCACGTAAACCACATACGCCGCCATCCTCGTCGATAATATCGCACATACACACTGACATACACCGAATACACTGCAAACCCCATATACATAACTCAACCCTCGACGAAATTACAAATCGGTTCGTATCTGAACTATTCAATTTGATAAAATCCTATGTAGGTAGAAGCTTGGCTCATATGATCACTGTACACCGACAGTAGTATTCAAACACACAAAGCGTCCAAAGTTTCATCTACTAATTTTAATGAGATCGGGCCATCTCCCATCGCATTCCCAAACATCTGTATCTCTGAGCTGGTTCTCAAATCGTAGTCGTCAATTTACGTGACGTTCGTTTTATTCGCCGGTCGTCATACCCTATCACCTATCCCATATCGTTTCGCACCCATGCAAACCCGGACAAACCTGCTATTATTTTAGATAGTCTTTAAAACTGTTTTTTTTTTTTCAGATATGGTTTCAAAATCGGAGAGCCAAATGGAGGAAATATGAAAAATTGGGCAATTTTGGTGGTCTGCAAGACTTGACGGAAACTGAAATGGTTCCAGCCCCGAGATCATCGGCGGCATCAACTCATCATCATGGCTACAATGTAAGTTGCCTATTTATTGCGCCGCCACAACGATATACAACCAGCGCACCACTGAGAATGCGCGGGTCTAAATAAATGTACACAGACAAAGAAGAGCAGTGATTTAGAGTGTGATATTTTCTTTCTGATTCAGGAAATTAACTTTGATGACTGTCCTCAGCCAGACGTGGTCAGTAATGAATATAGTCAAATGGTATCAGCGGCTGGAATAACGATACCTGTGCCTCCTGTCATCCCGGCGATATCGCCCCCAGCGGTCAATATAAATGAAACACCCGGGGGAAATCGTGTAAGACGTTCAAGTATTGCCACGTTGAGATGGAAAGCCAAAGAACACGAAGCGGAGATCGAAAAACAATACTTCCGGTGAAATGACATCGTCGCAGGAAATAAACAGACACGGAAATTGTGCAGTGAACATTAACAACACAGACAATCGCTCGAAGCGGTGACTTGCGTTCGTATTCTTTCATGCATAACCACATTACAAATGGCGTTGTTTCCTTTGAGATTAATGTACATGTATAATAATATATAAATCATAGTGTTACATTGAATTCCTTCCTCGTCGGTCAATGTGAGAGCGCCACCACACGATATACCATCCAGGTAAATAAAACAGGGTTACGTTTATTATAGTACGTTTGCCTTCATTGATTGTTTATTATAGTATATTTGCTTTTATTGGTTATCCCAAACCTACATTGTCCTGCCTATGATGAGAAGTAATTTTTGTTTCAAAGTTTATATAGTAATTTTACAAACTTAAATACAATTTGTTACATTTTAATGATCAAGTGGTACTCTGCAATAACAAAATAAAACTGAATCACATAAATAAATATATTCTCTATTGTTTGTGCATACGTACAGGTAAGAATACACAAATCAGCCATTGTAACTATGCTTACTCAGTTCAGTTACAGTGTACATGTTAGTTCTATGGCTATAATACAGTACCAACAAGAATTCATAAAGTGCAGATTAAAGAATAACGGGAATTATTATACATCAGGCACCGTAACGCCATAAGTTACAGCGTCCGTAATTTTGTGGTATTGCACTGGGTATTTTCATCCTACCATAATAGAAAACGCGAATTACAAATATGGAACGATTACGCGTGTAAGCGTCCTCTAAAAATAAAAAAACAAACATGGCTGCCCCCAGGATTTAACCGGGCCCCTCACAAAGAAGTTCGCTAAATCTGTTCTAAACGTGTTGGATTTCGGCATTTTCATGATGTATTCCTGGAAGAAAAAGATGTTTAATAATAAGGTTATTACGAGGATATTGCAAACTATGCACTCAGACAGTACAGCGGTAGTATCGACCGACGCGCAGTACTATTACAGAGTAGTATTACACACGCAGTACGTATTTACTATAATTAGACGTAGTCTTTACCTTGCCGTTTATTCGGTGTTATTTGCTTACTTTACTTCCTATGTCGACAGCAACTATGAGTTTAAAATTATTTCTCACTTCGTGTGTTGGGTTTGGAGCACGGCGATGGGCGCAACTCAAGCGACCTTTACAGGCTAGTGTAGCGGTCCATGAGACACAATAGCATTCAACTATGTTCTGTAGTTATGTAATTACATATTCATTTTTAATAATTTGGTAATTTTTGTGCCAATTATGTGGATTTTTTTATTTGTGCACGCTCTGCTGGTGAATTGAATTATTCCTGGCATAATAATTTCATTTTTCTAGAAAGTACTATTGTTTACATAAAACATCATTACGTTTTGTCAAAATGAAACGTTCTGCTGCGTAAATCTCCTGTTTTTGTAAAATATGTTTGTGTTTGGCGAAAGTTTCTGGCGTGTAATATCTTTTCTAACACTGCACGATTCAATCGTTGTTTACATAATACGTGTACGTACGATATTTATACTTAATTAAATTCGAGCCATCATCATGGATGAGAATAAAAGTGCAATTTTTTGTGTAATTTCAACAATATTGAATATTTATTCGCGTCCTGTTATTTTTATCAGTCAGTATTGTATATGTAGCGTTCAGAGTGTTCACTTTATATTGCGACTAACGTCGATAAGTCGAAAATAAACATTAACTTGGTCATTTCTAATGCGAGGATGTGAGCTGAGCAATTGAATTGCTGAATCACGTGGCGTTCCTGGGGCGCATGGGTTCGTCCCCAAACAGCTTGTAACCCCGACCTCAGAAATACTCTAAACTAAAAGAAATGTATTAAGTCTTTATTGTGTGTGAGTACATACAATAGTAGTGGTTTGAGGTTACATCACGCATTCCCCATGAGTTTAGTTTTACTCGGATTGCTGTGCGCGCGATAGTTTTTATTTCATTTGCGGATTCAGGTATATACAGTTTACGGCATTTTCGTACTGAACATATTGATTTTTGAAATCGTGGTGATCCAGGTTGTCTAGTAAAGATGGATAGAAAGCATTCATACGAGAATGTACAGTATATGTGAAACCCCTTATATCGCTAACAGCATGACTATAGAAACGCGACTACGGGCGAAACGTAGGTTTGTACATGGTTTGTATAACGCACGTACACAGGACTTCCGACGGAGCCAACACATGGCATGGCACCGTAATTATAAGAATCATTTTCTCGCTGTAGTAATTAATGGATGAACATCGTGGACCACGAACTCTTCAAATTTCTGAACTGGCAATAATAACGACTACACTACAACAATAAAACAAAGAACATTTATATTATTGGTTGAATATGTTTGGTTAGCAGGCCCTGGAATGCAGAGATTAGTGGGGGTAATCCCGCTGTTGTATCAAGGATCGCATAGGTCATGCTAGAACTAATCTTGCGCGGACATGTCTCGTCGATAAAGGAAGTCCCACAAGACCTACTACAAATCACTATATATCTTGTAACTATATTCTATAATCTACGTAATGAGTTTTGTGAATCTCGCGTAATTAACCACACACGCAGGTGACAACAGTAATGGTTTCAGCGGTTTATCTCTGAACTCCACGGACACCATGACAAAGCTTGCGGTAAACTTTGAATCCAGCGGATTAGCCTTGGTCAATACAATTAAATGAATGCCCAAACCACCCTGAATATGTGTGTTATATATGTTAACATATATCGTATTGTTCTCCGCGTCTCCTTTACTGACCGAATAATTCACATGTCCTTTGTGGTGAACCTGCTGAGCAAATACTGATCACCAAATATACAATAAGTCAATATATACAGCGAGTTTCAAAATTTGCAAAGTTATCGAAATATCACAGCCTTAATTGCTGAGCGGTGAATATCGTTCCGTATGTCGAAGGTCAGACATATTCTACAGCGCAATTCTTACAGCCTGTGTGGTGATTAACTCTTTTATATAAACGTTATGGGGGGCAATTGATAGTTAGATGTCACGAAAACAATACTATAGTGAGGCTCTGCACGCATTATTTACCTGCATGGTTGCTTACACAGTGTATCTATTAGTTTGTCTCGTCCTATTCGCGTTTGTCTATCTTTTAGATTTGTTTTCAATTGTTATCTTTTTTCGCTCCTTCTCGGAGATGCGTTAATACAATTATACAATGTACTTAGTCATTATCACATCAAAAGAACACGTAATCGTAGATGCTGTTCGATCCAATCTGATTGAAAAACCGATATAGGCATAAGATCCAACTTAATAACATCGGATTTTTATCAGATATCAGTCCAGTATGTGTTACCAATAGCATGCAGTGTGGCCAATCCAGCTTCATTTTTGTCAGAAAGTTAACTATGTGAAGATATTGTTTACTCATTTCAAAACCAAGAGTGTCTCTTTAATTTGTCAAACTTTTGAATAGAGCGCTCGTAGGTTCATTATAACCATGTTTACATTGCATCTACGTAAATTAGAAACCCGTTAAATCAGCTGACACGTGACGAATTGTTAACACGTGATTAATATACACAGACTAGCAAACTTACAACTCAACAGCGCAAGTGACGTGGAAAATGTGTGTGCTTAGATGAACCGATAACTAAGATAGCTCATTCAGCGATGCCTTCCAACGACTTACTGGGGCTGACAATACGATTAACAATAAAACGTATCAACATAGCTAAGTGAAGTATGTACATCCATCGGGAAGTTTGATCACATCTGACCCTAATAAATGTCAAACTCGAAATACACTCAAATCAAGGTGTTGAACTTCAGTCATTTCATTTGTCTGACTACAAGCCAGAAGAAAATGAAATTGGGTTTCGTATTGATATTTGGATTGTAGAATGTGATATATTTTGAGTTTATTACAGTACCATACATAATAGGACATAACGTTATAGAGTTATAAAGTCATTGTTTCTATGGAAACAATCTCGGATTCCTTTGTGCTGTCTGCACATTTGTTTATTTGGTGCAACCTTTCGTACTGCAAAATATCGAGAATATGTGCTGATTTACTTACGCCTTCTGTAATTTTTCATTTTAGTATAGAATAACACGATTTTCACGTTGAGACGAAGTGAGTGACCTGTGTTTAAATTGAAACCATAATTCTATCCATGTACTACAGTATGTTGTATAAACCTTTAACCAAACTCATTGTTTCTTTTATAACACGTCATGCTGTGACATTCACATGTCTGTAAAATAAGTTGCACCACTAAAACTAGAAAAATTGAAAGATGAACACAAAATTTAATGTAACAATCAATTCAAAAAGAATAAACCATTAAAAATTTGACAAACAATTATTTTCAATAATTTACCAACATAAAATTATGACTAAATAATATTAATGCATGCCATTCAATAATAACAGACATTTCACGCCGTAAAATTAACTAGCATTTAAAAACAAGCTTTCACTTGTTGGTTGCAGTTGTGTTAACTTCATTACAATTTATACTTACCGCTCAGTTACCTAGACCCTTCCAGCCGTGTTACGACTTCAATATGTTAAAATAACCCTCCCAAGATCAGCACTGAGTCTTTCAGATCACCTGATAAAATGTTTGTAGCAAGCCGTAATTACGACGAATAAAAACCCAACTGTGTCGACGCTGGCTGCCATTGGTTGAGCTTCTTGTGCTGCCAATCGCTTCTATAGTAGCCGGAGTATACTTGTTCATATACATAAAGCATTTTCATAAAACATTTAATTTAACGTAAGTATATTATGATGTAAACACTAATTAAGTAATTACTAGACATACATGTAATATGGCCTTTTATACGTTTTATGCTAATTAATTTCAATTCCATAGAGCTCGCAACGGATACCATTTCGATAAACCGTCGTAGTTACAGTAGGGACTAAGCATGAACATTGTAACAACGATTTACTCATTCGTCTTGGATGTGCATAGACTATAGAATCAATGTGCCATGATAACACCTGT